GGGGGGGGGGGGGGGGGGGGGGGGCGCAGGCGGGGCCCCCCTCTCCCCGCCGCTGCTGGATGGATGTTGTGGTGGAAGGAAGGCTGCATCATTACTGATGTGTAAATGATAAAGAAGCCTCCACATCCATCTCCCAACTGTAAATCCAGGGAGTGCTTTATAATCAAGCTACAGCGATAATAATGTGAAATTAGGTCTCTCTATCAACGGGAGGAGGCCTTTTAATCACGGCTTAAAGGGTGCAAACGCTGTTTATCATAATTGAACTGTATCCGGGCTAATTGTGGCCATATTTCACTGTCTAGGAGACAGCAGGCTGCCTGCTGACAGTGCCGCGTGCCGGATTGAGGGCCCCGCGCAGAGGGGCAGCACTGCCCCGTGCCAGGCTGCTGCCCGCAGGGACGGGGGCTGCCAGCCCGCCTGGCCACTGCCTGCCAGACCACCAGCCCTGCCCAGCCCCGCGGTGCCTGGTGACCCGGTGGTAAAGCCATCACCCGTCCCCCAGTGCTGGCTGGAGGGGCAGGGGGCTCCCTCCAGGGCACAGCTTCCTGTGGGATTGCCCTGAGCTGCCAGGGACTCTCCTGGCTGATGGCCAGCAGAGGAGAGGTAATGTCCCCAACGTCCCCGTCACAGCCATGTCCCTCCTGAGTGTCCCCCCAGCCCCTCTCATGGCACCCCCTCCCCTCGCAGGTGTGCCAGGCTGGGGAAGGGAGCTGGGCACGATGACAGCCTAGTGAAGGAGAGGTGTGCCCAGCCCCACTGGCCACAATGGGGACAGAGACAGCCCATCTCTCTGTGCCTCTGTCCTCTCTGATGGCCGAGGTGTCACCAATGGCTCTGGAAGGGCCCTGGAGGTGATGGGTGCCCTACCTGGCCAAGCCACAGCGCCAGCTCCGCTTGTTCCCACTCAAGCGAGCCCCTTGTTGTCATTAGGACCCCCTGCTCCATCCATCTCACCCCCCAACCAGCTGAGCCCCTGGGAAACCAGCACTGGAGCCACCATCCAGTTGGACCTAATGGGGAAATGGTGTCCCAAAAGCCAGGGAGACCGAGGCAGGGGGAGTGCAACCATCTGCAGCCAAAGTACCTTCACCCCACGGCCGGCCCTACCCTGGTCCACCCAGTGGGACCTCAGTGAGTCAGTGCCACCCACATGCCCATGCCAACAGCACCGTTCTCACCGTCCCAAACGATGCCATGGCCCCCTGGCAGCGGGAGCGCCAAGCTCGTCGTAAGTCATTTAGTGAGACTCATTCCAAATCAGCACTAAGGTAAACACGCTTATTATAATTATCCATGTAAAAAAAAATCAACAACAGCAGAACAACTTTCTAATATGCAATTACAGCCATCTATTGATTTTACAATGTAATCGGCTCCGATTGATTTAATAACACAATTATAGGCTGGCTCTCGGGATATTAGAGTGGGAGATTTTCATAAACTCCAAAGCAAAAAACTAAGCGGCTTTTAAAACAACACAGTCAGATGGCTGTTTGGGGAATTATTAGCAATATGAAATCCTCTAAATCTGGCCGTTGTTACCTTGTGAAAGGAATTTCTATTACAAAAATGGCAATTGACAGGCTAAGAGAGCGCGCGCGGGATTGCTGTGCTCCTCTTTCAGTGCTTAATCCATCCCAAAGGTGACCACGGGGCAGGGGATGAGTGGGGTCTGAGGCTGGTTAGTGGGCACAGGCAGCCCTGCCCACCCCGTGCCCCCCCTGCCTGGCTGTCCCTGGGGGACATGTGGCCATAGTGGGGCTGCCCCAGCAGCCGGATGGCACCCACCAGCCCCGTCCCATCGGGGTGACCCTACCTGTGCCTGGGGAGGCTGGCAGGGTGCGGAGCCCCCCACCATCCCAATCCCAGCACACCCGGCTTGCCCCACTCCCAGACACCTCCTGGGGCTGTTGGGGTGCCCTCCCGTGTCCCCAAGGCTGAGCAGGGGGACGGGGTGGAGGTGGCCCCGTGCCACGGGCCAGCGTGGCTCCGTGGGTGCCGCACCGGTGTGCACGCAGCGCGCCCCCACTCTCCTCGCGCTCGCTCCCTCAATGTATTCCCGACTTTATGGGCACATTTTTCTTGTCAAGCTGACAGGGTTGCTAAGTGGATTTCTCCCTGATATGCGGACGGATTATCACATTACTCCAATGTCCTACACAAACATATTACTTTATATTCAATAGCCCTAATGAATATAAACTGCTTTTTCTTTTTTGGGGGTGGGGGGTAATCTATAGATTTTTAATGAGGGCACTATTAACTCCCTCCTCTTTAAAACAGACTTAGGTGCAGCCTCTGAGTAGAAAATCAATGGTGTTATTGTAGGAATATTGTATATTGATATTGTAATAATAAGATGCAATTGATTTAGGGGTGTTGTGCGGTGTGTGTGAAAGGGGTCAGCCCGGGGTTATCCTGCCTCCTGCAAAGGGAGCGCTGGCTCTGCCCGGCCTCCCTGCCCCTCGCCTTGTCCCTTGTCGTGCCGCTTCCGAGCAGCGCCCCGTGTCCCCCCGCCACAGCCTCCGGATGGCCAGGGTCGAGCTCACCCCGATGCGCTGGGTCCCGGCCACCTCTGGGACCATCCTTGGCCAGGCTGTGGGGGTGATGTGCCACTCCAGTGTCCCCTCGCCCCGGATGGCTTAACCCCGGCGGGTTTTAACCCTTCTATCCAGTGTTTTAGCATTAGCCACTGCAACACCCACCTCCTGGCCCTCTCTGCCTCTCACCAAGCTCTCGGCTGTGGTGACAACCAGGCACAGCAGCACGTGCACACGTGCAGGGTGGCAGAACCCATCTTTTAATTAGGGCTGGAGTTTGTCGCCGTTCAGCATCTCTGGCTGCCCTTGTCCTCGAGGGGGACAGACGGTCCCACCGCGCTCCTCTGCTGGGATGGAGGCAGAAACCACTCAGCCCACAGCCCCGGGATCTCCCCTCAGTGTCTGCCCTCCCTCCAGCCGCTGCGAAACCAGGACAAGCTCAAGGAATTGGGCAGCAAGAGGCTGGCCCGCAGCCCCGCCACGATGTGGGAATGGGCTGCCAGGATGCTCGCTCAGGAAGAGCATCGCCTCTGCACCCCCAGCCCAGGCACCGGGGAGAAGGGAAGGGGCTGAGTGCCCATGCACTGCCCTGCTGGCATTGTCCCCACATCCCCATGGGAGCACACCACCCAGATGCCACCCCCTCGGGGGCTCGGAGAGCCAAGCGCCACCGCGGCTGCCGTGCGCTGGCCCGAGACGCCTGTGGGGCACGGGGAGAGCTTTTCCATCCCAGCAGCCGCCCCGGCGGGCTGGGGGTGGCTGGGGGAGCACTGGGCCCCCCTAAATGTGCTCATTTGGAGGCAGCCCCACCGCACCTGGGCTACGGCCGGGAAGACGGATCACCCCCGGCCCGAGCTGAGCAGGTCCATATTTAAACTGTCCCCAT